GAATTCAAATGACATTTTATTAAAATACTAAAATGCTCAGGACAATAACCGAGCTGCTCACCAGGCAGTGACAGGGCAGTCTGTTGTTTGCTGGGCCTGTGAGGGAGGGTGGGCGGAGGGGAGGCGGCCCAGAGGGAGGGTGGTCTGCACTCGCCTGTGGAAGTGGGGGGGTTGATGGCCAGGTGCTCTCGGGCCAAGCGCTGGTAGTGACCCAGCCGTGGACCAAAAGCTTGTTAGGGCAGAGATGAGGGGTGAAAAGGAACAGGAAATTGTATGTTTCCTCTGCTCCCCTCGACGCCCCTTCCCCATTCCTTTTCGTGCTTCCTCGCCACACTGCCCACTACCTTTTCTATCACCTCGGAAAACAGTTATCTTGCTAAAACCGCTTTTAGGGGTTTTTAGAACCGAGCTGCCCTTTCTCCCTCTTGAGTACTTTATAAAATACCCAGAAAATTGGTTTGGGCTGATACTAAAGTCCAACAGGACATCCCACCCTTCCAAAAGCCCTATACATTTTATAAACAACTCAACTAAAACGTGAAATATTTTCATGCCGAGCCAATCTGATAGTTTACGTGGCTTAGGCCCCCCATTCCACCATGGGAAACCCAAAAATATTACTACTTTTCAAAACAGATTCAGGTGAGCAGTATACCTTGTGGTATAGGTGGTATTCACTCCCACTGATAGTCTCTCTCCATTTATACAGTTTTTCTTTTTGCTTGAACTTGCTTTTCACCAGACATAAAGTTGAATGCAAACCAAATACATATATGATTATCTGATGCAGATTTAACGTTCAAAGGAAATTTTCGTAAGATGATATCCTTGGGATAAAATAACAGGAGATAAGAGAGCGTCACTGTTTTACAATTGACCGCAATGTATTTCCAAGTGTCCTACCTTCTCACACCATCTTCCCTTTAAAGAGTTTTTAAATGCTCACATTAGAAACACATGGGAGGTTATTGATTATAAAGGCAGGGCATTCTGAAGAAAATGGAATGCAAGTATGGACACATCAGGTCAGCTTTTTATGAACTAGAGAAAAGCTGAGTTAGTGTTAATATTAGCTGGAGGGAGATCTCTTAGCTCTAGTGGTCGGCAAACTGCGGCTCGCGAGCCACATGCGGCTCTTTGGCCCCTTGAGCGTGGCTCTTCCACAAAATACCGACTTCTGCGCATGGGCCACGAAGTTTCAATCCCACTGTACGTGCGCGCCCGCACGTGGTATTTTGTGGAAGAGCCACACTCAAGGGGCCACGGTTTGCTGACCACTGTCTTAGCTGGAAATGAAAAACGAAATAGGAAATAATGCAAACAGAAAAAAAAAAACAAGGGGGCTGCCAGAATTAGAGCCTTAGTCTTCAGAAAGAGAGTAGGAAATAACTGTGTGGAACAAGGAAAAAAGTCAGTCTCAACAGGTGAAGCTATTTTGTGTATGCAAACTCCTAAAATACAATCACATTTCAATGGCAAGGAGTTACAATGGAACAGACCTGTGGAATCTGAAAAGGAAGGTGGGGAAAAAAAAAGCAACCAAAGAACTTGTATGCTTATATGCATGACCCATGGACACAGGCAGTAGGGTGGTGAGGGCCTGGGGCGGAGGGTAGGGGCAGGCTAGAAGGGGTCAGTGGGAGGGCGGAAAGGGGGACTTACGTAATACTTTCAACAATAAAGATTTAAAAAAAATAATAGAGGAACTAAAATAAAAGTTGAGGGAAATCTATTACCCAAGAAATGTGACTATTCGGAAGTATAATGAGGGTCAATCACTTAGATCGACAGTATTTGGTTTTGTTTGCATCCTAACAGCACTGTCCTGGCTGCCTTAAATGTCTTCTAGAACAATGAGAGGCATAAATAAATAAACTCATAAATAAATAGAGAGATAGCACTCTCCCGCTAAACGCCACCGCTAAAGACAAAAGTCACAGACTAAATTATGGATAAGCACACTGCGCCAGGTAGGGCTCTGGATAATTTAACTACAGTCTTCGTGGTTTGGGTTTTCTCAGAAATGCACTGCG